ACTCCTCCATAAGAATCGTCTCTATCCAGGCGTATAATGTTAAAATCGTGGAAGTTGAGTTCTTTATCGGAAGAAAGCCATGTTTCACAGAGAGCAAATATATCACAATCAGAATTGTGAAGTAAAAATTTGAACGAGTCTAGTTTAGGCACTAGACTACGGCAGTTCCACTGTAGCACAGTGATCATATCTTCAACCTCGTTCGACGAATTATCCATCGAAAGATATGATTGATGCAAGGAGGGGCCATGAAACAGTCAATTGCTTAAGATATGATTCTAATGTTGGAAGCAAGGCAGAAACTAAGCTTCTTAGAGGGTCTTGTATGTTGAACATGTTTAATATGAATTCCACAATGTCCGAAAAAGCTAGCAAACCTCGTTCGGACTTGGATTTCTTTTGAGAAGTTTGAGGAGCAGCTTTTTTATTTTTTTTATCTTTGTTGGGCAATGGCGGAAAATTCTTGCTGCATCCAGGGATTGGATCAACAGGAGCCTTCGGTTTTGTTTTTTCATCCCCATTACCCTGGGAATTTGGCAATCGTCTGGAGGTGACTTTAGTTTTCTTACGGCGCACTTTCGGGGAGGGGCATTTTCTTTTTGAGGAACCGTCCATTTTTGAAGGTGCGTGTACCACCGTAGAATCACCTTCATCGGATGAGTCAGAGTCCGATTCTTCAACTGACAAAACCGAAAATTGGTTTGCATCTTGGACGGCTGATGCAGCCTTCAACATTTGAGCATATGTCTGCTTGGAGCGTCCAGAGATTGAACGCTGCACTTTATCGGAGTGCTGTTTGTACATCGGGCACTCCTGCAAGGGGTGAGGATTCTCGCCACAGTAAGCGCATTTTACTGATTCTTTGTGGCAAGAATCCTCTTTGTGGTTTTCACCACATTTGCCACAACGAGTTTTGTTGCCGCAATGGCTGGCCGAGTGTCCCAGCCTTTTGCAGTTGGTACAATTATATACCCTCTGTACAAACAACCGCACCGGAAAAAAAGCACCATCAATTTTAACAAAGTTTGGGAGAACTGAACCTGCGAAAGTCACCCGGAACGAGTCTGAATGTTTATAAACTTTTTTACCGTCTAGCAAAGATGCTGAATGCAGTTGCCTTACATCCAGTATCTTCACTAGCGCGGTAGCGAATGTCGAGATTTTAAACGTTCCCGAGGCATGTTTCAAGTCCTCGACAGTCAGACTCGCGTCGGAGACCACGCCTTCTATCTCCACATCTCGAGAAGGGATGTAGATGTTATACTCAACACTAAAAAGCTCGTGATCAGCAATTTTATTTGCCACATCATAAGTCGGTGCTTCTACACGCAGTTTGTTGAATCTTTCTTTGTGTACCAAGATTCCCGGATACTTACGCAGCAAATCTCTCGTTATGTCGAGAGTTTTCAAAGGTTTATTTTTGGGCCGAAAAAAGACAACCCATGGTCCTTTCGAAGACGGTTCATAGTATCTGGTTCGCGTAACGTAGGCATCGGAAGATGCCATAAGTGTTGCGCAAAAGCGGTGCGCAACCACTTAAGAAGGAAAAAAAAAATTAAAACCTTCACTAATTAATTAATTTTAATTACTAGTAATTAAATTTTTTGCCCGACGTACGAACAAATCAAAAAGAAAAAAAAAAAATCGAAACAAAAAAAAACAAAAAAAAAACTTATATCTACTTGCAAAAAGTTGTCTTACTATGACCCATACTCCCCTACCAGGGGTGAGAGACAGAGTCACGCGCCACGAGGCAAAATTTAACTACAATAGGGAGGCAATGGACTTGCAAAATGTATTGTCTAATACTTATGCCGGTTGTAAACAACCTATCAGCCGGTGCAGCTAGATGGTCCGTTTGCTGCTGCTGGTGGTGATGTTGGTGTTGGTGGGTCGGCACGATGATGAAAAAATGGCTTGACGACCGGATGGATTACCGGGGTGAATTAAAGCTGGATGGCAACTCCAAGGGGCTCGGCCCATGGAATTCCACTTCCTCTGTTGCACACTGGTCACTTGGGGCACCCAATGGGGGGTGAAAAAACCGCTCGGGCGGAAAAAAAACTCCGAAAAAAACTAGATGCCGCGTGACTGAGACCGGGACGTTGTTAACCGACTGAGCTATTACCAGGAGCTATTCCTAAAACGCTCATCTACCTTGTCTCTACTGCTGCTGCTGCTTGGGATTAGAAAGGTAGGCAGTGAATATAGAAGAACTAAAATGCCAGAAATGCAACGAGTGCAGCTGACTACATTTAACAAATCAGGCTATCACAATATTTGCAGTGCATTGCTGATTTGTGGAGTAGTATTAAGCTAAAATAAGGCTTGTTCAATCTTTAGATCAGCTAACCTATTGAGGTTGAATTATGGGGATACAATTAGCTTCACGCACTATTAATCAACTATATATTTAGCCTGATGTTATTCAGCTTTTTACATCTTAAATCAATCAATAATCAGCTTCTGGTCTTACTGTTCAGCTTGAATTGTTGCTTGGGACGTGTGTTATGTTTGAATTGAAAAAAGTGATAAACAACCTAACTACGAGTATAACCTAACCTAACGTGCTAGATCACGTATGATCTGATAAGTTGATCTCACACAGGTGTCTCTGAACCTTTCCAGGATAAAAACTCTCCGTTCTTCTAATGTCTGAATTCCAGCCAGGAGGTCGATCTCAGAATTTCTAGTTCGCGGGGGAATGTTTAGGATCATCCTAAGGATCTTGTTCTGGATCCTTTGGAGTTTGAGGTGATGGCATTTGGCGCAACTCTCCTAGATTGGCATACCGTACTCGATTACGGCAAGGATGACTTGTTTGTAGACAGCAAGCTTATTTTTCAGGGACAGGGTAGACCTCCTGTTGATGAGTGGATACAGGGATCTTATCAGGATGTTACTCTAACGGAACTATCTACCTACCCTCTTCTAAGATCATTCTCTAACTAATAAAATATCACACTAAAGCTTCATGTTAGATAGCATTTCCAACCAACTCCTTCACTAGGAATTTGAACACCAGGCCATCATGCCAGACATTGTCGAACGCTTTTTCAACGTCCAACAACGCCATGGCAGATGTTATCGAAACAGACTTGTTCCGTCTGAAAATGTTTGTTACTCGAGTCAGCTGGTGGACGGTCGAACGACCTTTCCGAAAACCAAACTGTTCCTCTAGTAACAATTTGTTTTTTTCGGCACATGTTAGGAGCCGGTGATAGACTGCTCTTTCGAACAGTTTTGATAACTCTGAGAGAAGGCTAATTGGTCGATAACTTGAAGGAGAGGACGGATCCTTCCCAGGGTTCCGGATGGGTTTGACTTTAGCTGACTTCCAACACGAGTGTTTGAGTTCCAGATTCAGGATGTTGTCGAAACCTGGGGCGTTCATGTTTTTAGATGATTTGATATAGGCCAACAGTTCGTCAGCCGTAATCCTCGGATTCCTCGGGAATTCGGTTAATTGTACAACCCCATGCTCCCAACTGCTCTTTCGATCTGTATTTAGATTCCCAACAGCTGTGCCAACTTTGAACGAATTTGGTTAGGATCTGGATTTTTGGGAGAACTTCAAACTTTGTATGGAATTTTTTTTTAGAAAACGGAGCGAAACCATCCATTTGCTATTAAATTTAAAAACTAGTTCATTTTTTCATTTTTACCAAACCTGAGACTTCGACTGGGAAAATAACTTTATCGAAGACTGCAAATCGATTCGACTTCTGTGCAAAAAATATTACCTTAAAATTCTCCCGCAAATCCAGATCGTCACTAAATACGTTCAAATTTGGCACAGGTGTTGCGTATGGTCTTGCATTACAGTTGTACCTTTACCAACGTAAGCTAGGGGATATCCCCTATCATATTCATAAATGTATGATAATGTATAATGTAAGATAATTGTCGACCACTCATTGTAGCACGGAAACTAAGTCCGATAGCAGTGGGTGCTCCTCACTGTTTGATTTGATCAAGCTTAATAACTTCTGATTGTCCTCAACATGTCACTGTATGAAGGGCCAAAAACGGGTTTGGTGGATCGATAGGTAACTTCACAATTGGTCAAAAAACGAGCTGTTCGACAGAAGGATACCTCAATGAGTGTGGAGAAGAGCCCGCCCTTTTTCCACGAGATGTTAACAACAGGGAGTTTACTATTTCACTCTCCCATCCAGCATTGTTTTTTTTATATATATGAGCAATAATGACAATTAAAAATTTAAAACGATCTCACCAACTTTCGCTGTTTCTACACCCTTCGGTCCAATTTTCTTGCCTATTTGTGAACTCGTTGTTCTTCTCTGCGTCACTGTTGGTCGCTACTAGTCCTCCATGTTATTTCATATGTGCTCTACGACATTTCGACGTCCATTATCCTTGATCTTGAGTTCCTAGACAGCGTCTCCGGGTATTTTCTTAACGAGCATCACTTCATTGTCGTATCGCATGTGCTCAATTTTGCAGCTTTTCTTTTACTTTGTTGACTCCATGGTACCGGGAAAGATATAGATAGATACATTATCAGCAATGATGTGATATACCCACAACGGGATGGCCGTTCAAAATGGTTCAACGGATGTGAAATGAGGGAACGTTTAAATTTAAGACGATTCAAAGTATTTCAATGCAACATTACATTTGTTCACTAACAATTTACCATTGTTCAATATGTTATCCTAACTTATTTCTGGCAGAATAACCTTGTGTTTTAAACAATTAGTATCGATGTTACGTCATATGGTATCTTCAAGTGATCTTCGCAAGCGCCCCATTTCGTTCAGGTTTTTTTGAACTACATGTGATGAAATATGAAACGCAATGTTGATCACTTACTCATACATGAAATCTGCCTCGACCAACCAGTACGCGCCCTAACCCTCACTGAATCAAAGGACAGGGACCCCCTATCATATCATATTCATAAATACGTCAACAAAGATCTTAGATCCAATAACATACCAGTTTACTGATCATCAACAACCTCACCCTTCCACCAGACCATCATCTTCGCCGTCGTTGCCCTGTTCGCCATCGTGTCCGCCATCCCAGCTCCACAGCAGCCAGCGGCGCGGCAGCCGATCGCTCCTGGTGCCGGTCCTGCCCCTGCCGATGATCTGGACGCTGGCTCCGAAGACAAGGACCTAAAGGGAGCTTCCTCGTTCGGCTACGGATACTACGGCTACCCCAACTACTACGGCGGATACTACGGTGGATACCCCGGATACGGATACGGATATGGTCGTGAGTTGTCTCTACCGATGTCTGCAGAGCGGTTAGCTTTAAAACATTGTCCTTTTCTCATCCCTTTTCCAACAGGTGGCGGCTACCCATACTATCGCTACGGAGGACTGTACGGAGGATACTGGTACTAAACGAGTCTGTCTCCATAATAAGTTTCCCCTGTTTCCTTGTCTCGTGACCTGTGACCTGTGCTCTCCGTTTCCGGCTTAATTCTTCCATTTCTTCCACCACATACTTGACCCACATGACATGCATGACCACGATCAAGCAAGCGGCTAACAATCCAAAGGATTCGCACTAGGCATGAAATCTTGTTCGATAATACCTCCCATATTCTTAGCGTTCGACGGGATGGCCGAGTGGAGTTCTCCTTCGATTCCACGTGCCTTGCGAATCGAACCGGAAGCCACTCGTCCTGCTCCCCCACGCCAAGCGTAGCCGTTTTACGTTTGTTGTACCTATAATTTGTTTTTATGTATTTCAAATGCTGCCGAATTTATGAGAAAATGACAAAAAAAAAACTTTTGTATATACCTTCTACGTTTTCTAATAAAAATACGTTACCATAATTTGTCGTGGCTCTTCGATAGTAAATTTGAAAGAAATTAACCTACATTTACAATGTTGCAGAACAATCATAGTGCGTGACTGCGAGAGCTGATCAATCAATTTTCAAATTTTCAACCCCACAATTGGAGCAGTTCATTAAAATGAACCGTTTCACTAGAAATGCCGATCCGAATCTCTGCTTGCAAGCTTCTTTCATTCATGCCTATATCTCATAGGTACCTGCCAAGCCATTCCCACGCCAATCAATACGCTAATGACTGGAAGTGTTTAAATAATGCACATTTCACTATCATTCTCAGTTCAATTCTCGCTATCTTATTAAAGCTTAATGTGTTGCAAACCGGGTGCACAAGCGCGTTACATTTAATTAGACAATCTTCGTCGCAACTCCCTCCCATCGGTGTGTGATAACAGTTCCTCGTTTAATTAGCGATAATTGGACGGAGTTTTTCATCAGTGTAAGTCAAGTGGTTCAACTAATTATGAATGAACGGTGTAAAGGCAAATATTTAGTGAGGGAAAACGCATATTCCGCCCAGCAAATGATCTTCGAGCTGACCTTAAAATATTAGCATTTCAAACTAACAACCGCAGCATCTTTATCTTTTTGGCTTAATTACGTCCCACTGGGACTTTACGCCGACTCTCAACGTAGTGTTCTTTGAGCACTTCCACAGTTGTTACTTCAGAGCTTTCTAAGCTTATACCATGTTTGTATTAGTTTGATTTGTGTGGCAAGTACTTACAATCATACTCTATGCCCAGGGAAGTCGAGAAATTTTCCAACCCGAAATCGAACCAGAAATCGAGCCCGGTCGCTTTCAGCATGGACTTGCTTTATTGTTGCGCCTTTACCGACTGAGCTAAGGGAGGCCCCGACATTTTCGATCTAACGAAGTTTAATCAACAGTCAATAGGAAGCTAACGATTTTTTATTGGTTTATCGCATTAATTATGGACAACCCTATTGGTCTCAACTACGTGAGTGCTCAGTAGGCTCTGCCAGAGAACGGTTGATTTTGCTTTCGCTGTCTGCTGATTGTGTGTGTTTGTCGCGTAGTTTTTAAATTTCTAGATAGAGCAGGAATTAGGGCGTAGCAGCATTTGTAAACAATTACTTCTATCGATGATTTCTAGGAATTCAAGGCACGTCCACTCAGACCAACCTAACCATCGGATAGAGGAAGTCTTTCCCTATCCGATGAGGATGTTGGTTTCCGTGAGCGAGCCTTAAATTTCTAGAAATCACCAAGAGAAGTCATTGTTTACAAAAGCTGTTAGGCCCTAATTCCAGCTCTATCTAGATTTTACTTATAGCGAATTCGTTTATTATTCAGTTTCAACCTGGATCGGGTATCAAGATTGGGTCTGCTTGTTATCTGACAAACGTAAGTTTGCTCGTTTGTTTTTAAAATCTAGCTCAGGTTGAGGTTCACACTGACAAAAAGTTCGGTTTCGCACTGGGTTGGAACTGGTGTTAACCCCGATAATAAACGAATTCGCTACTAAGCAATATCCTCTTTCGATAGTGTTCATTGATCAATTGAATGTAGATAATCATCCAATGAAGAATATTGTGACAATTCGGTGATAAAATATTGGTTCGTGCATTGGCATAGCTAATGGGGCAGCCTAGGGGAGGGGGGGTGCTCCAGAATTTTCGTGATTTCAAACCCGATATCCCCGTTTACAAACAGGTTCAACGTTACTTTTTACCGCCAACAAACAACGATTTTTTTAACGTCCCATATTCAGACTGCTTTGATGAAAATATCTCAATATTTGACGTCAAACTCTAAGTGGTATAAGATAATTTGTACGATCCAGTTGTGTTCAATAAATTAGAAGTAAATTAATAAACAAAACAATTTAAAAAATTCTACTAACTTTAAACTTTTTGGGGCCACGTGTTGAAATATGACTAAGTCCTGTTCAGTAAAGTTGTTGTATTGGATGTTGACTATACAGGAAAAATATGAACCGACTTTTTAGCCAGCTTGAATATCTGAGAAATTTAGAGCAATTTTCCTTTAAACAAATGTGGTAAATTTATCAATTATACTCCATTGAAGTAGCAAACTATATGATTTAAGAGATCTGTTTTATTGGTATTATTAACGTTTTCTATTCAAAGTAGAGTAAGGTGGGGCAAAAGTTCGTTTTGAGGTTTTCGAAGCCCGTGTAAAATGACAAATGATTAATTATAACATTTGTACCAACTTCGGGTTCGTACAACAAGGAAAATTTAATAGTGAGGGGGTAATTTTACTGCAGGGCATGGAACATTGGAACATGATTTTAGAAATATCAGGCTTTAGATATGTCATCAGGAAGCTGGCTCTGCCTATAGTGGAGAATAAGTTCGAGTCGTGTCCTAATGTCTAAAACAAATTTGGCATTCACTACCAATCCAGACGATTTTGATCTCCTTGAAACAGCGGTTCCACTGCTTAATGTTGACATCGATCACAGGCCATTCATTCTGAACCTTGATGCGCACTTCAATCTACCTGATCATCATGATGTCCCAGCAGTATTTGATCTTAAAAACTGTGATCTAACCGCCCTAGATCAGATACTTACAGCAGTTAATTGGTCCCTGGTCCTGAACGGTGATTCAGTTGACGTCATTACAAACCAGTTCTACGAAAAACTGCACGCAATTTTCCACGAGTGTGTTCCTCTTCGTAGACCTTTCTCCGGCTACTATGCGTGGAAACCCTCGTGAAATACAGAGCTGCGTAACCTCCGCAACAAACTCCGCAAGGCCCGCAAACGGTTTTTCATCTCTAAATCCGATGACAACCGAAATACTCTTCGTTCAATTGAAACTCAATACAACAAACTACTCGCCGCTAGCTACGAAGAACATGTTCAACGAACACAGTCAAAACTGAGACAAAACCCATCGAATTTCTGGAAATTCGTGAAGTCGCAAAGGATGTGCAATCGCCTACCCAACACAGTTGTTCTAGACGGCGTAACCGCAACATCGCCGGAAGAGATCGCACATTTGTTTGCTACATTTTTTCAAGGTGTTTATGGTGCAAAGCTAGCTCGCCTCCCCGCTTACAGCGTCAACGATCGACATGAATATGACTTAAATTTCCCCTTACTACGCTTCACGCCAGATGATGTCCATACAGTTTTGACCAATCTTAATGCATCAAAAAGCCCCGGATTTGACGGAATTCCTCCTAATTTCCTGAAATACTGCGCTCGCTCGCTGGCTTTACCGATTTGCTGTATATTCAACCGTTCGCTGTCCGAGAGGACGTTCCCCAGCTTATGGAAAACTGCTGCTATCGTACCAATATACAAATCCGGTAGCCGTAACCACGTTGACAATTATCGTGGTATTTCGCTTCAATGCTGCATTAGCAAGGCTTTTGAAACCCTAGTGCACGGAGCACTTTACAGTGTTGTTCAGCCTTTAATATCGGAGTATCAACATGGGTTTGTTCAACATCGTTCTACATCCACGAATCTGATGTGCTATACCAACACACTGTTCCGCGAGGTCGAACTTCGCAATCAGGTTGACTCGGTCTACATTGATTATTCAAAAGCGTTTGACACGGTACCACACGCGCGTGCTTGTGAAAAACTGAAAGCTATAGGACTCTCCGATTGGATGGTTTACTGGATTCGGTCTTACCTGACGAATCGTAATGCTTTCGTGTCGTTAAACTCTACTCGTTCGGTATCGTTTTCAATCACTTCCGGTGTATTTTCGTATTGTTTGTAAATGATTTGTGTCCACGTATCTCATTATTCAAGCAGATGTTTGCCGATGACCTGAAAATCTACAGAATCATCGTTTCCATCCTCGACTGTATTGTACTTCAGCGTGATATTCACAATTTGTTGCTATGGTGCAATGAAAACGGAATGAAAGTCAATATAAAAAATGCAAAATATTTTCCTTTTTCTCGTCGCTGCGCCCCTATCACTCACCAGTACACGCTGGAATATGTACCATTGAAACGAGTGTCATCAATTCTTGATCTAGGGGTTACGATTGACTCAAAGTTGAGGTTTAACAATCACGTAGCGATGGTTAATTCGAAGGCATATGCTGTTCTTGGTTTCATTCGGCGGTACACATGGCAGTTCACGGATATCTACGCCCAGAAGACGCTGTACTGTACTCTAGTAAGGAGCCTCCTAGAATATGCAGCTCCCATCTGGGCTCCGTTCCATACCTCACTCGTTTTAAAAGTTGAACGAATACAGAGACTGTTCATCAGATTGACACTACGAAATCTGCCATGGCGTGATACCATGCACCTACCTGACTACACCGCTCGTTGTGCATTGATAAACTTAGAAACGTTAAATGAAAGGTGTAAAATGATTCAGCAACTATTCATTTTTGACCTACTTGGCGGAAACATCGATTGTCCTCAATTGCTCCAGGAAATTCCTCTCTATGTACCACCGCGGCAACTAAGCAGATCTCCTCTCATTGCTGTACCGGCACATAGAACCGTCTATGGTAAGAACAATCCACTAAATTCCTGCTTGAAACCCTTCAACGACGTTGGTGTTCATTACGATTTTACTTTTTCTAAGAATGTTTTTAAAAATAGAATTAAGAATATGTAGAGTAGTCTGTAAGATTCAATCGAAGACGAAACAACAATAAATTTATTTACTCTTAGCAATCATAAGTGGAGCAGAATGTGAGACCCTACTGCAATTTTTGTAGAAAACCGTTTGGTGAAACGCGTGGAAAAAACACTGAAGGAGTGTAAATCAATATTAGGAGATGGAACATTTCGTTTACGGGAATCCAATCCCATTCTACTCAGGATCAAAGGTCTCCCCAAAGTCCACAAACAGGGGAATGAAATGCGAGAGATCGTGTCTGCAGTTGGTTCCCCTACCCACAAACTAGCGAAGTGGCTAGTCACAGAGTTCCAGAGTAAGCCGAATCAGTTCCAGAGTTTTCCCAGCGTACCAGTCAAGGAAAACTGGCTATTAACACAACGAGA